CATTAAAGGAATTAAATGGTCAAAGATTACGCTCGTTAATTGTCTCCGTAAAAAGGGACAAAGGGGACTTTGAGGCCCTTTTGTTGGCTGGTGGAGGTGGGGGAATAGGGGCTGGGGGGGGGCCCCCTCCCTCTCGTACCCCATATCGTCAAGGGGGGCCCCCTCATCCTCATCCACATTTCTCATCTTCTGCCAGAGGTGGAGGAGGGCCAGGAGGGCCACCTGGAGGGGGAGGTGGACCCCCACCAGGGGGCCCTCCCCCTGGTGGGCCCCCTGGTGGGGGGCCCCATATGCTATCTTCTTATTATTGGGGACCCGGTAGTGAATCCCCAGAGTTTAGGGGGAGAGAGGGGCCCCCTAGACATTTTGACCCCTCCTTAAGAGGGGGGCCCCCCTTTGATTATCCTGATAGAAGGGATTATGGGGTACTAGCACCTCCTCTTCGTGGTAGGGGCCCCCCACCACATGCAGGGGGCCCCCCACCTCCATACCCATTAAGGCATGAAGAAGAGATGAGGGGACGATTAAGAGGAAGTGCCGGAGGACAAGAAGGAGGAGGGTACGGTGCGGGAGGGCCCCCACCCTTAAGGTACCCTAGAGGGGGCCCACCTCCTGGGGGGCCCCCTCCTGGTGTTATGGAACAAAGAGGAGGGTACAGAAGGGGAGGATCTCTTGAGCCTGTAAGACCCCGCAGGAGATCTGTCTCCTCTTCTCCGTCATGGGGGGCAGGGGGGCCCCCTCATGGAGGGGGGGCCCCCCCTCCTATGCATGCAGGGTATAGGGAGCTTTGTACAAGGGATAATAGGGCATTTCCTGCTGATAGGGCAGCAGCACCTTGGGGTGGGGGGCCCCCCAGGGAAGGAGGGGCCCCCTATAGAAGAGAGACCCCACGTCGTCCTGGTGCCGGTGGCACAAGCGGCAGACCCTATACAAATGGGGGCCCCTTAGATGCAGTAGAAGAGGGAGGAGGAAGAGGAGGGGGCCCCCTAGGAGGAGGGGGGGCCCTCCCTCCTCCTTCGCAACATACAAGAATACCCATAGCAGCAGGAAGGGGAGGGTCACCTAGGGGATCAAGGGAAATGATGTACCCCCCTGCTGAGGAGGCAGGGGGAGGGGGGCCCCCGCCCTCACGTTTCTGTATTGATAGAGAAAGAGGGGGGCCCCCAAGGGGACCCCCTTCCCCGCCAAGAGGTAGGGGAGGACATGGAGCCTACCGGGAGATGGATCGATCCCGATCCCGGTCACGATCCCGATCCCGTTCCCGATCCTGGGATCGACGACCCCACGCCGCCGACTATAGAAGAAGAAGAGGGTCTCCTCCACACCCCTCAGGGGCCCCCCATATGATGGGGGGGCCCCCTCCAGATACAGAAATGAGAGGGGGAAGGGGTACTGAGGGGCCCCTCCTTGTTGAAGGGTCATGTCTCCCTACAGATGCAAGAAGGAGACACAGGAGTAGGAGCCCAAGGGCCCCACCACCAAAGGGTGGTGGGGGGCCCCCTTATATGGGTGGGGGGGCCCCTCCTCCTTCGCACTCCCCCCATGATAGACACGTAAGGGGTATTGTACCCAATGGGCCCCTCATGGGAGACGATCGATCCCGATCCCGTCACATAAGGGATCGTCGTGATGACAGTGGGGTCCCCCAGGGGGGCCCCGCAGGGGGCCCCCCACCCCCTGTACATGAAGAGTACGGGTGGGGTACTAGTAGTAGAAGAGAAGTTATGTGGGCAGGGCGACCCCAAGGGGGCCCCCATGGTGGGGGCCCCCATGGGGGCCCCCCACATGCCCCTCAAGCGGGAGGGGGGCCGCCACGCCGCCGAGGGGACTCACCACCACCAGGGCATAAGAGGCGGTTTGGTGGAGGGGGGCCCCTTGATGATTCTGTAGGGGGGGATGGAGGGGGCCCCCCCTCCGGTGGTTATGGGGAGGTAAGGGGACAAAGGAGACAGGTGTCTCCTGATGGTCATGGTGTACGTACAGCTGGGGTAAGAGGAGACAGAAGAGATAACAGGGCATGGGGAGGGGAAGGGGGCCCCTCTATATCCCTAAGGGGGCCCCATCCTGCAAATTAGAGGCATATTATTATATATAAATATTTATATATATATTTATATATATAAATATATAAATATATATATATATATTTATATATATAA